GTAGGGTGGTAAGATTGTTGCGCTGTTGATACTGGACTCTATCATCATGTTGTTGAGGGTGCTGAGGTTCTGTTGTGCTTTCTTCGAGATTTTATTTGAAATGGGTATACATGTGAAGAGGATCTTGGAGTTTGGGAAGGTTTTGTTGGCTGTGGCGATTAATTGCTGGGCTTGGTTAAAGGAGGTCTTTGGTATCTGATCACGGTTGTTGAGGCCTACATGAAGAATAATGGTAGTAGGTTTGGGATCATGGTCATATGATTCCAGGATAGACTATGTGATGGATTTGGGCACCGGGGTAAGAATGTATTTCGGTGTCTGAACTGGTTTTGGTAATTCGATTCAGGTTAGATGATCCAATTATTAAGGTGGATTTCTTTAGAGCAGGTAGTTTCCATAATGATTTGTCCTTGGTTTGGTGATAATACGGTTTGGTAGCGGATATAATGGTCGTCGACGGTGTGATTGGTACTGGTTTGGTAGTTGTTAGAATTGTAGCATTGGGAACGGACTGGGATCTGGTTCGAGGAGGGGAAGGTCTGGATACACGTCTCGACTTGGATGGAGACTGAGGGGTGGTTTGCTGGTCCAAAAACGCACAGAAGGAAGAAAGGTTGGCGGATCCTGGATCACGTGGTGAAGATTCAGATGGTGTGGAAGGGGAAGACGAGTCTGAAAGTGAAAAGAGAAGGGGTGTGCCCTCTCTACGAGAGCGTTTACCTATGTCTGCTGGACTAGGAGTAGGTGAACTTCGGGCTTGTTTAGAGGTTTGGTTCGTCAGCGTGGTGGCTCTAGATGGTGCAGGTGTAGTGTCCATTTCAGTTGGTAGAGATATGGTTACTCTGGTTTTTGTTTCGTTGATTGTTTGGTAGAATTTAGAGATTACAGCTTGAGTGAGACGTTTCCCATAGGAGCGAAGGGGCCAGGACAGGGCATGAGAAACGATGCGGTCGACGGCAGGTGATGATAAAGACTTGGTAGGAATGGTGGTCAGCTTCTCTTGAAGTGTGGTTTGGTAATGGTCGATCAGGACCTGCGTAACCTTACAGAGCCATGTCCGATTGAGGGATCTAATATTCGCGTCGACAGCTGATGTTTTCATTGCTGGACAGATAAAACTATCCAACTCAGAGACTTTGCGTTTGAAGGTAAACGCTGGTTGGCCTTGCTGTTGAAGGGTAAGGATTGCCAAATGATGGAGGCACTGCAAAACTTGGAAGAACACCTTCACAAAGGGGACTGGTTGGCGTCGGTGGGCTGGTAGTCGTTTCTGTTGTTGGTCAGGTCGATGGTTACCTCTTGATTGGTAGGCTGTGTTGTAGGTAGGTCGGCGATGGGGTGGGATATAGCTGGATGGGTTGGTTGGTGGTCGGCGATTGGTAGGTGTAGAGGTCGATGGAAGACAGGGCCGTTGTAGGGTACGTGATATTGGTTTGGTTGACGATTAGTGTTTCTATTTCTGGCTTCTTGCCAGTGGTTGTTGTAGTTGGGGAGCATAATGAAAATAACTTGGGGTTAGAAGGGAATGTACAGCGGATGTAACAGGAGGAAACTGTATATGCTAGTGTGAAAATGTTCGGATCAAATTATGCAAATAAGTCAAACTGGGTTTGGGGATATATAAAGCAAGATGAAAAATGCAAAAAAATATATATTTAGGTGATAAATAACGCTAACAATGATGTGAAAAATTATAACAAGTAAAACAAAAACTTACGCAATTGACACTTTATGTATACCCCAAACTAGATATAGGCATTCCCTTTCAATAACAGCATACCTTGTTTCCCTAGGTAACAGTTTCTTACTTGCAAAAGCAATTGGAAAAACACCTTTGTGGAACTCTTGCATTAAAACAGCTCCCAAACCAGTACTGCTTGCATCAGTCCTTAAAATAAACACTCTAGAAAAATCTGGTAATCTGAGAATTGGAAACACTATGGAATCAGTTCATCAATCAGCTCCACGTTACTAAAATTACTTCACTGAAACACTAAGCGTTACTAATTAAACACTCAAGTCTAAGATTACTACACATAATACATACATTACGTTATACGATGAAAAACTTCATAAGCTTTACAGGCTACTAAGGCACAACAACCATTGACATCAAAACAACCACATGTATCACACGTGTAACGTATAAACAGGAACAAATGCTTAGTGGAATTAGCAAGTGTTCGGTCATATAAGGTTACACAACAATCATCTGTAGAGGTCAGCAGAATGCTGTCCCAGGTACATATCAACAATGATTACACACCAAATATTACATATTAATAATAATAATAATAATAATAGTTCACTTATATGGCGCAAATTACTTTTCAGTTCCTATTGCGCCATCGATCAATAAATTTCTGTGAATGGAATAATACTCAATAATCATTAAACAAAAAAGTTTTTAGGTTTTTCTTGAGGATGTCGATAGATTTTGAAAGTCGCAGTTCTGATGGTAAATTGTTCCATAAAACGGGTGCAGAGTAAGAGAAAGCTCGTTTGGTGATTTCGAGGTTAACTAATGGCACACTTAATAAACATTGACTTGAAGATCTTAAGGTTCTTGTTGGATTTGAAAATTCGATCAGTTGTTGAATGTATGTTGTAGATTTTTTGTTTATGGCTTTGTAGGTTTGTAAAAGTATTTTAAATTCAATTCGTTTTTTAACTGGTAACCAATGGAGAGAATTCAAGATTGGGGAGATATGTTCAAATTTCCTGGTGTTGGTTAAAAATCGAGTCGCTGAATTTTGGATATGTTGTAATTTTTCTATTTGGTATTCTGGAAGTTGGTGAAAGAGGGCATTGTGATAGTCCAATTTAGTTGTGATGAAGGCATGGATTAGATTTTCTTTGACTGTTGAAGTAAGACATTTCCCAATCTTTGATATTTGTTTTAGAAGGTAGAAAGCGGTAGAACAAGTGGAGTTGATATGATGTTTGAAGGACAGATTAGCATCAATCACACCGCCGATATTTTTGGCTTTATCCGATGGAACTATCAGTTCATTTTCAAATTGGATCTGCATAGTTTGAAGTTTTGCAAGTTGTTGTTTAGTGCCTAAGATGAGTAACTCATTGTAACCCACACATTGTCAATCCTTCATGAAAAGTATTGGGTTAATAGTAACTCTGTAGTAAGACACATACTTTCAAAATGTGTCACATGTCGCAAACTTGCTCATCCAGTTATGGAACAAAAAATGGCAGATTTGCCATCTAATCGTTTAACGCCAGCGCCTGTGTTTACTTATACTGGTGTTGATTTTTTTGGTCCCTTTTTAATCAAAGAAGGTCGTAAAGAAATGAAACGTTATGGTGTATTGTTCACATGCCTTGTGGTTAGAGCAATACACATTGAAGTTGCTTGTTCATTAGATACAAGTTCTTATAATTCAGCTTTGAGACGGTTTATCTGTCGACGAGGCCCAGTTAAGGAAATAAGGTCAGATAACGGTACGAACTTCCACGGAGCCGAACAAGAGCTTAGAGTCGAAATTGAAAAATGGAACCAAAATGTCATCAACCAAGAATTGCTTCAAAAAGACATTAAGTGGATTTTCAACCCCCCAAGTGGAAGTCACCACGGTGGAGTTTGGGAACGTCAAATACGTTCTGTGAGAAAAGTATTGAACTCACTGTTAAGAGACGCTGGAAATCCTTTACTTAATGACGAATCTTTTAGTACATTTACTTGTGAAGTAGAATCGATTATAAATAGTCGACCGTTATGATGATTCGAAAGACTTTAATCCGTTAACGCCAAATCATTTACTTACTTCACGTACTACATGGCTTACCTCCCCAGGCAAGTTTGTGAAAGAAGACTTATATGTCAGGAAATATTGGAAACGTGTACAGTTTCTCGCAGATTCTTTCTGGAAACGTTGGAACAAGGAATATTTGGTTACATTGCAGCAGCGTTCCAAATGGCAAAATCCTAAAAGAAACTTAAGTGTTGATGACATTGTTTTATTAGTGGAAGACAATCAGCCACGTAATTTTTGGTCCATGGCTCGTGTTATTGAAGTTTATAAGGACAAAAATGACTTTGTTAGAAGTGCTCGTGTCAAGACAAGTTCTAGCTTTTTTGTTCGTCCTATTGATAAATTAGTATTCCTTTTGCCCTAGTGTAAATTTAGGTTAAGCTAGTTAACAGGGCCGGAATGTTGCGGCCAAAAGAATATCATGTTGTTAATCTGTTTTATCCCAGGTTGCTGGATATGTTTTGTTTTTGTTCTCTTTAAGTTTTCTCATATTTGCTTACCTTTGTATTTATTGGCATATACAGTTGTCCATAATAAGTTTATTTTCCCTTAAATAGTGGTCCATACTGTAAATAATTTTCATAAGGTCAAGGACAAACGCCATTTTACAAACGAATGAATAACGAACGACTAACGCCAATTGTTTTTGCTTTTGTAACGTCCGTGGGTTTTGTCAACAACACAAAACCTGCGGTTTTGTAACATTTATTGTATATGAAGCCGTTGAGTATTAAATTATTGTCTGATGACTCCCGTGGTTATGGATTTCGAACGATTTAACATTTGCATCGAGGAACGCTCTCATATGATGCCATATTTTTCAACCATGCCCACGTATTTTTCCTTCCACACCATGGTTGTGGCCGTCATATAGGTCATGATGCTATATTTAGAACCTTATTCAGGCTTGTAGCACAAGATCAAAGACACTCTGTGGTCTGCATGATGAGTGATATTCACCAGTTTAAGTGAAGGTCTAAAGTATAATTTAAAGGGACAGTAGAATGTCACTCTGTTACATTCATATAATATATTGATAAGATCTCAATCAAGTTATAAATTGGTAATATTTGGATGATGAACAGTTTCCGAGTTATTGCCCATGTGTGCACAGCAATGAGACATTGTTCATGTTTGAATTTGATGATAACTTGATGAACTGTTTCAGGTTTTTACCTTGACTTATGGATGATTTTAAGATTATTTAAAAATTCATTATTAAGCCACTAAAGATTTTATTATCATTTCTGACAGCTGGTAGTGGGCGTACGTTACCTTGCCTGGCAAGCTATCTTTTAATATTGTATTGCATGTATAATGTAGGCCTACCAGTACCATTTAATTTAGATGGCTGGATTCTAGCTCGGTTTCTTGTTTTCAAACATCATTTCACCTTGACATTATTTTTGATTCAATCAATACCGAAGAATGACACTATTAAATTTTTTTTTAAATTGAAATATCAGGCACTATTTCAAAAGTTATTTTGTCTAATTATATGTTTGTTTAGTTTTACTGTGTCATGTAGGCCGATGATAAATTTAATTAATTTACAAGGCTTAAGGCTTATTTAAAAAAAAAAACAGAATCAATTTGGAGTTTCCAATCACGAATTTATGTGCTTTCTAAAAATCTCCCGACTTTTCACCCTATCTCCAGATTTTGTTTCCTGACCTGTACACATGTATGCTCCCAGACTACATCTTTTATAGACCGGTATAGTTTGGGCGTTAAGAGACTATAGACTATTTTAGAACTATATTTGATTTACAGATAAATGTTTCAACTTAAAGGGGGTATTCTGCTTTTTTGTAAAAAGTTTTCATTATCAAAAACTTCATAAATTATACTTGAAAATATTTCTTAACCCTCTGAGGCCCGTGCTTGACTTAAGTCGAGCTAAGAAAATGACGTCAAACTCCCGTGTTCGACTTTTGTCGAGCTGGCGTATATCATTTAGAATTAGTTTTTTGACCAAAAAAGTGTCAATATTGTACGTTCCGTATGTTATTTTATGCAGATGAGGGTTCCTTGATATTTTAGTGTAGTTTTTGTCATAGGTTTCCTCTGCAGAATTTCGTGTAAAATACGATTTCGCAGTGGAAAAATGTGTTACTTTCCATTTTTCAAAATGATGCGTTGCAATGTTGATCATAATTTCTAATGATATGATTCAACCAGTTTTAATCCACAAACGTATCAACACTTCTATTTTCCTATCGGTGGAGTGTAAAATATTTGTTATTTTATGCTAATGAGATTGTTGTGATGTCATAATCTAATTTAGGACGATATTAGGATTTCCCTTGCGAGATCCCGCCAAAATATCCAG